CTGCTATAGGACGTTCTTTTTTGAAAGCGCTTCGCGGAGCGTTTCGAGAGCAGTTCTAACGTGGATGACCCTTAAGCGATTATGGTACTATCAAGATTTCCACCAGAAAGATTCTATATATTATTTATTTATGAAGAAGTCAAATAAACCAAAAAGAAAACTATTGAGAGAAAACTGCTAAATTATAGTAATTCCATGCTAGAACTATGTTTGTTTATTTATAGTTATTTTCATTTACCCAGTGAGCCCGCTCAGTAGGTGTACAAGGCATAATTAAATAGAATTACTACGAGCAACCTAAAGGGATCAGTCGTGGTCAGTTGTAGCCATAGCAATTAGTAGCGGGAAATATTAACGAATAAATTGATATAAAGAACTCCATGAAAGATGAGCCTGCCTGAAAGATTTCTTGATTCACTCTGAACAGCGCATTAGCTCAATCCTTCAACCTTTTTCTGAACTTGGAAGCGATAACGCGATGGCGTGCTATCAGAATAGTTTTTAGCAAGCAAAACCTACACTGGTCAGCAAAACTAAGGTTGAGATGGACGAAGTACAGAACTCCGTTACTTTGTTAAAAATGCCGATCAGCATCATTTTCGTCCTTTTATTATAAGTTGTTTAATGTTCACTTTTCTTCATGGATCCTTGTACCATTAGGCTCAGCTAGTCGAGCTCTATAAGTCTGCCTACTTAAATTTCCACAAATTGATTTTTTAATTCTAAAGTGCCTAAGGTCAGTCATTAAAGAGCCTCGCTCGCTATAATTATAATCCAAAAGAAACAGATCCTAACTAAGGTATTTTGCGAGTCTTTGTGCTTCGTTTTTGTTGAGAAATAGATAAGAAATATTATAGAACAAAAGTGAGACTATGTGCTGTTTAGGCCATGCTGGCGTAGCGTACCTTACCAACAACTCGACGAACTTTATAACGGTTCCTGTTATATGCTTTCTGTACTGCACTGTAGTAAGCACAAGGTACGGTAGTTTCTATGTATGCTTAAGTCCCCTCGATCTCTTACTCAGTAGTAACATATCACAGAAAAGTTACTTTCAGCCTTAAGTTTTGCACACCAGTGTATTTTCAGTATCTGGACGAAGTTCAAGTGGAAAATTGTGAGGTTGGAAGTTCGTTTCTGTTGTAAGCAAAAGTGAGTATAACCCTCTGTTTGGCAGAACACCACGATGCTCATGCTCAAGCCCTGTCTACTTTCGTTCAGCTAATTGGTGAATTTTTCAGGTGACACTTTCGCGAAGCTGCTTTGTGAATAGGTGATTCCGGGACAACGACTGCACCTTGGACTGAATGAACAACAATGTGAAATGGTGACGTAGCAGCCGAGGAGTTCGAAAGAAAAATTTCACTTGTTCATAAGTCTAGCGCTCAAACTGAATGCACATTCCACCGATAATTCGTTGGACCTATTTTTCTGCGAAAAAGTTTCCTGAGTGTGCAAGCGCAGATACAAGGCCTTTTTGGTACTCGAACGCGCAAAAGGAGCCCAGGGGTTCAGAAATTGCGAGCATGGCCATGCCAAACACTCACGCCCAACGTTGTGATGTCTGCTCTCTCACCCCTCGCTATGCTCTTTCGTCCACTTCTTTTGTTCTCTTGCTCAACTCCTTGTATCTCCTATACCGATTGTTGCTAGAACGCCTACCGCTTGTGGAAAGGATTTGGGGCTATCGCAAAGTGTGAGAGCATCCTCAAGGACTATGCCTAGAAGCATGTAAAAACTTAGAGGAAAATCGAAATTCAATCACGAATTCTGAAGTCTCTTCTCCCTAACCTAAGGCTTAGTTCCGTTCTGAACGATTCTAGGGATGTTCTACTCAATTTTCAATGCGACGGAAAGGCACTAGAGGCAGGGTCGGTCCTACGTTGCTACAAGTAGCAACGGGGGGTCGTACTTTGATGAGTTTTTGGAGGGGGGGTCGTACATTTTGATGAGTTTGTAGAGGGGGGGTCGTATATTTTGATGAGGTTGTAGAGGGGGGTCGTACTTGCTTCGATTGTGAGAAGTTGCATGATGAGGGAGGAGTGGCGCGGGAGAAAATTTGCCGTTTCAGCGCGCGTATATACCCCCCCGCTCGACGGCATTTTTGGAGGAAAAAGTGGGCGGGGTTTTGATGGAGGGTGGAGAAGGGGGTCGTATCAAATCCACCTTGGGGGAGGGGGGTCGTAAAAATTTTTCGAAAAGTAGCAACGATAGGACCGACCCTGCTAGAGGTATAGTATACCTTGGCGCTATCGCAATATACGGGGCATAATGCCCCGTATCTTGCGATAGCATTAATGATTTTATAAGCCGTTTTCAATACTTTAAACCTCGTTTTTATTCGCTCACATTAGTTAGCACCCACATCTCCATAATTTTACTCCATATTTACCATGTTTTTGCTATTGCGGACTGTAATTATTTCAAAATTAATTCTAACTAGTCAACTTGAATTTTGAAGCTTCAGTCTAAAATCTGTATTCGAAATGTCTGCACTGCTACTACTACTGATATTTGATATCAAGCTTTTAGACTTGAGACGACGCTCAGCCTTTTCTTTCAAGCTGTGCTGTTTCTTCTCAAAGAAGTTGAATCTTTCAAAAGCGATCCCTTTTAACTACCCTCCTTCGGCTCACTTCGAGTTCTCGTCCTTTCAACCCTGTACACAGTCAGTCCACTTATGTGTGCCCTTCCTCAACCAGTACTTTGTGATTGAGCGAATACTGTCACCAAAGAAAAAACCTATATTGTAGCTCAGGAGACTCGTCTAGAGAATGTCCTAAAAGTACAATTCTATTATATCCGCACGAGCGATTCAGCAACTTTCCATTTATTAGCCATCCCTTCTAATCGTGACTCTTGCGTCAGTGACTGATTACTAGATAATGGAAGTAGCTGACATATGAAATATCCAAGATAAAAAAGACCTGGTTAATATTGCTCCCTTTCAGCATATATTTCCATAGCTGAATGGGTGAGCAAGATCTCACGAAGCATGGCATGGGCCTGCTTAAAGGCAGCGATTACGATGGCATCAAGGAAGCATATGCACCACACGAATCAGTTACTTGGCTGCCAGGGAAGCGAGGTGCGCTTTCACGACGAAAGGTGCGCTGGTTGCTGAGCAGGACTTCGAAAGCACTCCGCCCCCAAAAGCGATCCGCCCACTAGTTTAGTTGGTGATTTGGACGAGCTGCGTTGCCAGCAGCGGCACAACTGGAGCAACTCGATTGGAGCGTGGTTTGGCATGGTGCCACCAAACGCGTTGCGCTGAACTCGTTCATACGTCCGCTTTCTGAGCTGTTACCTGTTCATGAGTGAAAACCAACGGCCAAAAAAGGGGTCCCATTTTTTTTGAGGATTTCTCCGCTTTTTTCGCCACTGACGTACCATTGAGCACCACCACGTCTCCTCCAAACCTTCTTGAACTTATCGTAATCACCGCCTTTAGGAACCGCTTGCCCTCACGGCTAGCTAATTAGTGACATTCAGCTTCCGAATGCACCTTGGTAGTCAACATAGAGCAAACTACAACATCCTGTTCTAGTCGATTAATCCATTGCACCTTTCTAGCACCTCCACTGTGCTACTTTTTTCATCTGACTCCAACCATGTACGTTATGAAAACAGTAGAATAGAATGGGCCCCACATCTTCCCTCGTCGCCTCCTAATGTCGCTATACGAAAGGAAGTAGCGTGGTTTCATGGAGATTTGGGCTTTTATTTTGGTCTTTAAAAAAGTTTTATTTTATCCGTTTAAGTAGTGCATGTGGCAACATGCGTCATGTGATGGCCTCATCGAAGCCAATGAACTTAGAGAACGTCAGGTCTCACGGTCAATTGATGCCTCTTCCCATTTTGCCTGCTCCTACCTCTGGACCGTTCACTGATCTGGTAGTACTATCCTCCTCCGACCTCCTACCT